AAATAATCAGGCCTTAATTGTGTGATTCCAGTTAATGCAGAGGGAGTTAATTAACATCTGGAACAAGTTTCCTGGCCCGAGTTATTAACTGTGTCTGGTGCAGAATTCAAACAATGTATGAAGGGAGGCCTTTGGCCAAATGATTCTGGACAGCTGGAATGAGCAATGGCCAGAGGAGGACGAGGTGAGGCAGCTGTGCCAGGGCTGTGTCCATGTCTGGTAAACAAGCTCACACTGAGCTGGGGTGTGAATGTGGTGCCAGTCCAAGGTGTGGCAAAGAATGGGCATCACCTCCTAACTTACCTTCAGCTCTTCCTTCTTGACTCCAAAAGCCCCATGGATCAGGATTTCAGAGGCTTTTGTAGCTGGGACAGGAAAAATCCCACTAATATATAGGATAGACTACATCTTGAGAAGAAATCCCACTAATATATAGGATAGACTACATGTTAAGAAGAAATTCTTGGCTGTGAGGCCCTGGCACAGGGTGCCCAGAGAAGCTGTGGCTGCCCCATCCCTGGAAGTGTGCCAGGCCAGGCTGGATGGGACTTGGAGCAGGCTGGGATGGTGGAAGGTGTCCCTGTCCATGGCAGGGGTGGAATGGGATGAGCTTTAAGGTCCTTTCCAACCCAGACCATTCTGTGGTTGCTTGGCAGGTCTCTGGTGCAAGCTTGCTCATCCCCTCCTCTGTCTCTATCTGCAATGTCAGAAAGGAGGATTTAATTTTGTGCTGCTAAGAAGGAGAAGAATACCAAATCACAAGCACACAAACTCTGAACGTCTGCCTCATGTACCCATGTCAAAGAGAGATACAGGGATATATCCTTTTAACCACCCATACCCCTCCAGCAGAAAGGCTGGGCAACCCAAGGACAGAATATAAAATTTTAATTGTCCTTTTGGGTCAGCCCAAACAATTTTGTCAAACCAAAAGTGATTATTTATAAAGCTTTTAAAATATTAAATCCATTACATTTGGGTTTAAGTAGAAAATGTGTTAGAAAAATTGCAGAATTTCACTTAATATGTGTTTAAAAGCTGCAGACTTGTCCACATTCTCCCTCCACTGTCTCTGAAGCCATGAATTCATGACAGCAAAAGAGTCACAACACTAGAGTAGGTGTAGGACAACTGACTTTTCACCCTGGGAATTCTCCTTTTCTTATTCTTCACTGCCAAAACACAACTGAGAATCTCCAGAACAGTATTTTCACATATGCCTTGTGGATCTCCTCATCCAGATAGGGCAGGGATAAAATGTCGGAGTGTCTGTAGTTGCTCACTTATTTTCCACCTCTGATGTGATGAATTCTCATTGAAGGTTCCTTGTCCACGTTCCTGTTTTGGTAGAAACACGTGCTGGGTTTTATGCATGAGCTCTACACTGCTGCAGCTAGCAGGCATACAGATGAGGAATGCTTTTCCAAATAACCCCCTAGCTAGGAAATATAAACAATTCTCACTGAGCTCCAGCAGAAAACCACAAATTGCGGTGGAAATTTTATTTCCATGAAGTTCTGCATGTGAACACAAAGGAGATGCAGAAGGGAAAGGAATTCAGCTGAGGGGTGTGGGTGAAGCAGAGAGACATTTAGGGTGAAATTCAGGTGGGCAGTGAGGCAAGCCTCATCCTTTTCCTAGGAAAAAGGGTCACCAAGTTGAATGCCATGAGATCTCTCACAGGGAGAGCCAAATGCCCATCCAAGTTTGGGGAAATTTCCTTCTCCTCATCCCATATCAAAATAACTACAAGAACAAGAGCACAAGAACCTGCATTACGCCACTCTCTTCTTCACCAGAGAGACAGATCTTGTACTAAAAAGTGCAAAAAAGAAAGCAGTTTGCTGCTGGTGTAGGTTGTTGTTGAGGGATTCAAATCCTGCTGAAGGACTCCACTGGTTTCAGCTGATTTAAACTGAAAGAAAGTAGATTTAGGTTGAATAGAAGAAAGAAATTCTTCTCTGTGAGGGTGGGCAGGCCCTGGCACAGGGTGCCCAGAGGAGCTGTGGCTGCTCCATCCCTGGAAGTGTCCCAGGCCAGGTTGGATGGGGCTTGGAGCAACCTGGGATAGTGAAAGGTGTCCCTGCCCATGGCAGGGGGGTAGAATGGGATGATCTCAAAATGCCCTTCCATTCCAAATAATTCTATGATTATATGATTAATTTAAAAGGTTTGGAATAAAGTCCTAAACTGCAGCCAAGTCTGAGAAACAGCAGAAGTTGTGCTGCTGGGAGACACCAGTCCCAGTCTACACCAGTAAGAAGATGGAAAGCCAGCATTCAGTCCCAAACACTGAGGTGCTCCCTGTTATTCTGTTATCCCATAATGAGCACTAATTCAGCCCTGTTTGGATTTATGACTCGTCTGAATTTCATGTACAACTTTCATGATCTCTGTCATAATTACAAAAATTGCAAATAACTTTTTAATATCAATGTTTCAAAAAAAATTAGTCAAATCTTTCACGGCATTTTTATTGCCTATTTACTATCTCAAATCAAATGGTTTACAACTTTGTGTTCTGAAAATATACAGCATAAGAAAACACTAGCCTGGCAAAATTATACTTTTATGACAATGACAGGGGTGAGTTATAGTTGCTCTAGTTAAACTGTAATGGCTGCACAGATGCTGGTAAAAAACTATTGCACAACATGTTCTGCCACCATAAGCATGGCACCTGCTCGCTCCGCCATGGTACATACAAGAGCATGTTAACATCTCTTTATGAATTTTATTTTCAAGGATTATAATTGGACCATAAACAGTCACTTGGGGATAAAATATAAGCATGCAGGCTTTAAAAATTACCTTGAGAAATATTCTGCCAGTTTTGTATATCTGGATTTCAGAGGAAGTTTATGAGTGATCATATATAATTTGTTTCTGATCTTGTAGGACTCAGAAATGGTTTGTGTTCTTAGGAGATGTGCTAGAGTTGGACAAGTGGGTTACACTCACCCCTGCAAGAAAACACAGGAGTAGAGATTATTAACATTATTAACATTATTAACATACATACATGACATCACAGTCATTTGCTCTAAGTCCCATTACAGAAAATTTCACCTATTAAATGCTGTCAGTAAATACGTGAGGATTTTTGTTAAAGTGTATTCTCTGACTTTTCTTAAGCCAATTTTCATAAATACAATACAAAGGACTGAAAAAAGGATGCTTAGAGATTAGGTAAAAGCAGTTAACCAACCCAGTTCTGCTTTTTGAAATTGTTGTAAATCAGAAGCAAGACCTTTTTTAGTCTTTAGTCTAAGTTATTGGAATTTCAGTGAGGTAAAACACCTCCAAAGAGAAGAACCACTGCTAAAAATCAAAGTGAACATCTGCTTGTGTCAAGGATCATGGATTTTAGGGAGGGAGAATCTTCCCATATCTGTGACTTGGCTTCTTCCTTACTTTAAACCCTCTAGTCGAGCTGGACAGAGTATGAATGAAGATCAGACATTATATATTTCATTTTCCTCCACTGAATCTCCTCTATCTAACTCAGTATTAAAGCCCTGCTAATGCCTTAGGCAGCAGTAGCTGACCCTTTGAATTAGCACCTCCTCTGCAGTAGATGCCTCATGCATATGCCTATTGATGTATTTTAGAGTGGAGATAATTTTTATTTTGGCTATCTGCTCTGGTTTAATATTGCCAAGAAAACACCTCATCTATATGTTTTTCACATGCCATGTATTTCCCCCTATGCCCTGCTACAATGATTTGTTATATTTCACACAAAAAGCCTCCTTATGTCCATCTTTGTCAGAACTCTAGGAGCCACTAAAGCATCATTTTAAAGGGCTCTTTATCACTCAGATGAATTTTCCTCTAATTATATCCTTTAACTCCAAAAGGGGTTCGGGGATATACTTTGTATGAAAGATGCTACAGAAAACAAAAGTTGCACTGCTTGTGGTTCTGCTTTTATATTTTCATCCAGGGAAACTCTCTGCACACCAATTTGCTTTCTCTTTTCCAAAACCCATTTCCTCCTGGGGCTATTTCCTGGGACAGAACTGTCTTCAAATAATTTAATTATGATGTGGCACACACCTTTTAAGTCCCCCCTTGAAATGGTGCGTGATGCCTTTGGTTTACATCACTTGTTGGAAAACACTCCAAAGCATTGAAAAACTATTAAATTGTTACAGTATTGGATGCCAACACACAGGGCTATTAGTCTAATTCATCCTTCAGATCAAAGCCCACACAGGCAGCTCTCCTGCCTACAGCTATTTTCCTTTTACTTTCCTGCTTGACAGTAGTCCCTCATATTCCTCTGTTCTACTTTCTTTGAACGTACAGATTTTTCCTTTAGTCATGGAAATATAATTTATGTCTATTATAGTGCATTATAGATTGCAGATCAGGACAAGCGTGCGTTACCGCCTGGGACGTCTGTTTATTGTACGTCGGCTTTCCAAAAATAAATAATTAAGAAAGGGGAGAGAAAAACCCAGAGCGGGAGCACACGGGGGGCTGTGGGGAGCTGCGCTCCGTTCTCAAAGTTTAATTTCCAAGCAGGGACCTTGAAGCATGATTTATGAACATCATGCTGTTTGCCTTTGTCACGTTGTGGATGTGGAGGGGGAGCGCTGGCCCCTCTCCAGCCGGGACCACCCAGCGAGAGGAGCGCGGCTACTGCACAGCCCCTGCTCTGGATGCTCACCCCAAAGCCCAGCCCTGTGCCACCCTGCTGGGGGGAACAGCAAGGACAGCAATAACAACACCCCCCCCCCCCAAAAAAAAAATAATATCCGGACAGACGGGCTGGCTGGGACGCGAGAATTGCACAAACAATCCCCACCCCATCACGGAGAGAGTGTGTGTGTGCGTGTGTGTGTGTGTGTGCACAGAGGAGAGGGAGTGTGAGGAGGGGGGAGAGAGGGAATGAGACAGACAGAGGGGAGGGAAGAAGGGAGGAGGGAGTCCAAGCTCTGAGAAACATCACTCCATCTCTCTCACTCCACAGGAGCTGAGCAAGGAGCAGGACGATGTTTGACAACACGCAGTACCCCTACAACTGCTTCAATTATGACGGGGATGATTATCCTACCTGTAGTTCTGACGAAGAGAAAAAATTCACCAGACCAGCGTACAGGTAAGAGGAAGTTTTTCCAAGTCCCCCTGTCTGTGTGAGGTTTCTGAGCTCTGGGCTGGTGGGATCATGGGGCCGGGTGTGTGAGATGAGTCTGGCCCTGCTGCAGGCACTGCAGTGGGCAGGTTTCCCCCCTTTCTGTGTGTGAAGTGTTCATGATTTGTTTCCTCCCATGAGGGGTCACAGCAACTCTGGCATGCCCTTAAGCTTCCAGATCTCAGACAGAACCAACCTCCAGGACCCCTGGGAGAAGGGAATTAAATGTTTCAGTGTGGCAAGGGGTGAATTGGATGCAGAAAACCCCGGTGTGGTGGGGAGAGGCGCAGCGTAGGTGTGCACAGGGACACCCAAGGTCCTTTCCATGAGCAGAGTTTCCTGTGACAGGGACTCTGAGCCTGCTGTGTCTCACTGCAGCCTTCCTGCTCAGGGAAACTTTTCAGAGGGAGTTGGAGAGGTGTGTGATCCTGTCCTCTGCACTGAGTGCCTGGCACTGATCCCTCTGTGTCACCTGGGGCTCGTGGAGGACAGGCAGTGACCACACTCAGCACTTCTCCCTGGGACACCTTAATTCAGGGCACAGATCCACCAGGGGAATTTTGGAAGCAGGATAGAGGCACACAAGTACTCCATGTGGTCCTAAAAACTGAGTCTGTAAGCAGGGCGATGGTGTAACAGCAAGTTTTCCTTTTTCCAGCTACATTGCCTTAATTGCAATGGCCATCCAGCAAAGCCCTTCAAATAAAGTCACCCTCTCTGGCATTTATGACTTTATAATGAAGAAATTTCCTTACTACAGATCAAATCAAAGAGCCTGGCAGAACTCCATCCGACATAACTTATCGCTTAACAGTTGTTTTGTGAAGGTAAGATCAGTTACTGTGTATTTACATACCCACTGTGCATGGCTAAAAAAATATAGGCAGCAATAATCTCATCACTAGGAAAGAAGGGAAACAAACAGCTGAGCTGCAAATCACTTAAAATCTCTCCGAGTTGTCAATTAGACAGATAAGGACTATATCCTTGTCTGATGTATGCTAATAGATAACAAATTGAAGAGGATGGGGCTTACATCTCACTCATATAATGACAGAGAATAGGCTTAAAAGTCTTGTCATATGTGTTTACACCATTCTTAAACGTAAATGAATGCAGATGCTAAACAGCAGCATCTGTAACACATACAAACACTGAACTGCCTTTAAATAAATACAGGTTCCCAGAACAGAAGGGAATGAGAAGGGGAAAGGAAACTATTGGAGCTTTGCAGCAGGATGCGAATCCATGCTGGATCTCTTTGAAAATGGGAATTACAGGAGAAGACGGAGGAGGAGGAACGTGAAAAGGGAGCACAAGGAGCAGAGACCGAGCAGAGTGAAAAGTCCTTCATCCCCCAGTATCTCTTCTGTGGACTCTGCTTTGAACAACATTTCCTCTTCTGAAAGCAAACATGAAAGAATTGAACCGGGCCCAAAACTTGTGGAGCCTTGTGGGTTTGCTCCAAACAGCGTGACCAGCAGGCAGAGCCTGAGCAATTCCTCCCTAGCGAAATCGGATTCTGAAATCAAATTCAGCATCGATTACATCCTTTCAGCCCCCGACCCTTTGCCTGTCCTGAGATCTCAGTACAACATGCAAGAAAATAAATATCACCTCCTGGAAACCCCACATATTAATCTCCAGTTCTGGACAATGTGATGTTATTTATTGGTGGTAACAAAGTCTGAGTCTCAGTGTGTTCAGCAGCCTCATGTCACTGAAAATCAGCCGCCTGCCTCCTCGTCTTCCTCCCAAGCAGTGCTCAGAAAGGGTTACAGACTCACCACACCAGCTGATGCCCTGTCTGCACCCAGGGAACTTTGCTAAGATTAAAGCATAAATAGCTGTTACCAATATTGGTTTTCACCATGCTGAAATTTATGAAATTCTAGCTTTATTTTCTAAACTGTCTTGGACATCATTTAGCACCAAAAAGAATTTCCTTTCTCAAGCAGAATCTGACAGAGAAGAGACTTGCTTATCATCCACTGCTTTATTAAAGACAAAGTGAATTTGATCCCATTTTCAGTGGTGGAAATTAGGATTAACTCCACTGGAGTATATAGGTCAGAACTTAAGCTGATCTAAACCAGTGTAATTCTGTCGACTTACACTGGCTGGGAATGTAGGGGGGCAAGGGGGTGGAAATTTGTTTCTTAAAAGGAATTATAGAAATTCACCCTGTCTCCCCTGATTTCTTTCTTTTAACATCTTATTTCAAGCTGTTTTGCAGCTTTAATTCATTGTTCATTAGGAAATGTAGTTGTTGATAAGTATTTCAAGTATATTTTTGTTTATATTTGGGGCAGAATTGCTTAATTTGTTAATTTAAATTGTTGAAGTGAAGTTTTATTCAAAATAATTCTGAGACCTAATTGCAAAGATGCTGAGCTCTGGTACTTTGATGGGACAGTCAAAGAGTCTGTTAATGCCTTGGTTAAAAAAACCCCAACATTTCTTCCCTTGTGCTATCAGAAATCTTCCTGAGATGCTGCAGAAAAGTCCTTAACCCTATTTCATTTAGCAAGTGTGAAGGGAAACCTGGCACTGCAAAAAGCTCTGTCGAGTGTCAAGCAAAGCTAAAATTCCACCTACCTGCTCTGAGACAAGTTGTATATTCCCATTAAACAGATTTTTTATTGATCCTTCTTGCAAGCAATTACCAAAGTGGTGCTTGATATGATTTCAGCTAAACTGGTGAGATTTATAATTTCCAGATATCAATGTTACTCGTGAGCTCCATTTCTGAGAAAGCCACTTCATTATCATTTACATGCAGTGGGATATTTTGGAACAGAACCTGATGGACAATGATGAACTGTAATGAGCTTTTAAGAAGTTGCTTTTATACAACTTGTTCACAATGAATTGCTTCCCAGAACAGAAACAGTGTTAGCAAAGGATCCACAAAATCCTGGCCTTCACTTGGCTATTATGGTCTTCACCTACTGCAGATAAAAAAGAGACAAGAATTCTGATGGTTTTAAGCAATTAAATGCAGAGATAAAATTATCTTTGCAACAGGAACTGAAGGTAAATGAAGGTATATGAGATAAGATTCAACATAGAGGTATGCTCAGGCATGACTTGAATTTTTATGCAGAAGCTTTGACATTTCACTAAGTTATTTTACATTGTGTCTAATATATACTGTACATTTATACTATATATTCTTATATATTGTTATTGAGAAAGGGAGCAATATCACTGCACTTATATGTTGTAAAAATGCATGATGTATGTTGTCATGATGCTGAAACTCCTGCCATATACTTTAAATTTACCATCAGTGCTATTTCACACTGATTGGTAATAAATGCCCATTTTTTGGAAAACTATAAAACTTGTTCTCTTCAAGCATTTCTACAGCATGCAAAAGTCTTTGCTTCTCCTTCAGAAAAGAGAAAATGGAAAATCATGTCAATTACATCACTGCATGTCTTCCAAACTTTGGAGGGATGATTTCTTGAGACCAAATTCTGCCTTCAAATGGGAGCTTTCAATTCTCTGTGAATCAAAAGTTATTCTGGGGGAAAATCTGAAAGCAAAATTTGACTCTTTGGACCTGATTGATCTGCTGTTTATATTGATATCAGAAAAAGAAGAAAACCTCTGTGGGGGGGACTGCACAGATGGATTCTCATTTGAAGAGGGACGAGAATTTGCTCTTTTATTGTTTATAATATATTATATTTATAATAAATAGGTGTGGGAAGAGCATGTCCTCACTTAGTGCTTCAGTGTTTGCATGCACCCATGGTGGGTGGGTACCTGTGCCCCTCTGGGATCCTGCCTACAGATAAATATTCCTGTTTGATACACAGATCTTTTTTTCCTGATTGTTTTAAACATGGCAATGCTGCTGTTGGGCTGATAGTTATGGTGCACACCTGCAGTATATTTGAAATACATATTTTCTGCTGTGAAACATGCAAAAATGATTGTTTTATGTGTTCTTGGTTGATGCTGTTAACAAGAGATAATTCAGTGACAGCAAAAGTTCCTCCTCAGCAACACCTGGGTAAGGTGAACATTGTGGAGAAGCAGTTTATGGCTACTAATCAATGTAGAATTAATGCATTAGAAAAGGCAGAAATACACCCAAGTGGATTTACAGCAGAGATCCAAAGCCATTTTCTGTAAGATGAATTAATATTCACAAATAGCCATGTCCTTTGCTCACAGTAAAGTGCCTGCTAGGAGAGACTGTCATAATTTAGTTTCCCTAACATATAATCAAAGAAATTTGTGTACAAATAGGTGTTAACATTTGTTTTGCAAAGGATATCAATCATATTTTGAAAAATGAAGGGACATATTTCAATTTACCCAGTATATTATATTCTGACGACTCCAGAAAGGTTTCCAGCAGTTAAAGTGAATGGCATTTAATATAGAACAACATAACAGGGGTGAGGGCTAGACGTGACCTTATTCAAATGTCGTAGCCATTACAAAGCCATTCCCAATGTAATTATAATTAAATACTTTATGCCTTTCTTGCAAATCCTCTGATCGATCATTGATATTAACATTAATATTGTATTACCCCCGAGCAAATATCTCCCACACAAGTGTTATGGATCACCAGGTTTCCATTAACAAACTTGTGAGCTATTGCCGTGTGCCGGCCGTGGATAAATTTACGTAAATTACTTTTTCTCAGGGAAGAGGGGGAAAAAGTCTGGGTCTCTTTCTTCTCTGAATCCAGAGCTATTTATTCAGCTCCATCACAGCCTGACAGCCACCTGCATAAAGAAAAAAATATAAAATCTCACAGGGACATCTCTCTTTGCCCTGCGTGGAAGCAGGTGGATATTCTCCCGTTTGGCATTGGGGTTCAAAGCTGAGCTGAGCTGTGAAGGTGTTGGGCTCAATTCCTCATCTCATGGTACTTTCCTGAGTGCAGAGAGAGCCCCAGGATGAGCTGTGGGTGTCCTCAGCCCTTGGAGGGGCTGAGCCTGTGCCGAGGCTGGGGTGAGGCAGAGGAGGGTGTGGGACAGCAGCTCCTGCGGCTGGGCTGGGGGCGCCGGGAGGGGAACGAGCCCTTGGAGCTCTCCCTTCAGCATCATGAACACCTCTGCCACAAGGAGAGGCATTTCCCTCCCTGCAAAGCAAAGATGAAAGGTTCCTTTCTGGGCAGAGGCAAGGCTTGGCCTCACTGAGGGAGGGTTGTTTGTTTTTCCTTCTAAAGGAAGGCTTCCCACGACAAAACAAGGATCTTGATGGAGCCACGCCAGGTTATTATGCAGAGATTTCACTTCTACTGATTTAATTTCTTAGGCTTTTGCCATTGGTGTCACAGAAGTGGTTTTTGCACGGCAAAATGATCATCAGCTTCAGAATGAAGTTCAAAGCACTTGGGCAAGGATGCAAGGATGCATCTTTCCTCCCCCAGTGATAACACCCAAGGCAGGCCAGCAGCTGACCTCACTTACAGGGACCTCTTCCTCAGCAGAACCCCCTGCACATTATGGGAGCATTAATGCAGACTAGGATAGCTGAAAACAAACCTTTTCTTTGTCAGTAAAGCCAAGTTCCCCTATTTTTCTGCCAATCAGAAAGAACTTATTAGTCTCTTTTAGTTGAGACCTATTAACTCCTCATTTAAAGAGAAGCTGTGCTCAAAGAGCATTTGAAGGTCAACCCACCCTGGAGATCTGGCTCTCCCCACGCCTTTGCTTTGTTGTGCTCCATGCCATGGCCTGAATTGCCACTGTGCTCCTCAGCCACCCAGCAGGTTGGTTTCTCCCTCAAAACCAAACCCTGATTTCTGCAGTTTTCTGGCCACAGAGGGTTTCTCTTTTGGCTACCACTTGCCTGTTCAGGTCCAAATCTTGTGAGTCCTTCCCATTTTCTAGCAACAGAGAGGATGCAAGGAGAGGGGAGGGGGTTTGGAGGGAAGAGCCTCGGGGAAAAATGTTGCTACACATCTTCCAGTAGTACAGAGCTGATATCTTTGATATGTCAAGGGCTCCTGAGGTTGTGTGCCAAGTCTGTGCTGTGAATTGAAGGCAGCCATACCCAAAGTCCAGCTGCACTCAAAAAAAAGAGGGAAACAGAGGGAACCTCCACCACACACCCCTGAGCACACAGAGACCTGAACCTTCATCTCTGCAGTGTAACACAAATCCCTGTCTGTGATCAGCCCTCCAGATCCCAAAGTCAGGAGATGGAAATCCTGTGCTGCTCATTCCAGCTGGGCTCTCCCATCTCTGTCTTTTCTGGGTCATGTTCTCCTCCCTTCTGTGAGGATGCAAATCCCTGCAACTCTGTTCACTTTGGTGTAATTACCTCTGGAATTGAAGCAGCCCATGTGATTCCGACCTTTGCATATTATACCCAACATCTCCCATCTCACAGTCTGCAAAACTCTGCCAACCCCTCCTCTCCTAGATAGAATTCTCAAAGAAACAAATGGTCCTAAACTCTTTATTTTGCCTTAGCATGAGCTTCTAATTGCTTTCACCAGAACGTGGGTGCCATCTGCACTGCTCTGCACAAAGAACCTTGTCTCTGTCTCTGTGGCACTGGCAATGTCTTTCTTATTGCATTTAGGGTCATTAAATTAAAGAACAGGGTAGGTCCAAGTCCTATGGAACTTCCACTGGAGTCCTTTTTACCCGGAGAGCAAACATAAAATAACAAAGTGAGTTGTGCTCCCTCCCACCCTTGCTACAGTGGTTGGAGGCAAATCCAACTGTGAGAATTTTGCCTGAGAAAGAACTGCCGGATTTCTCCCACTGTGAAATCCAGCTGTTAATTCAAACAGAAGGGATGGACCTGACCAGATAGGCCAACTGGCTGGTTTCCATCCTAAAGTCCATTGTGTTCCACAAGTTCCTAAATTTATGGTCATGAAGGTCTTCCAAGCCCTGTAATGAAGTATGGCATGCAATGTTTTTGTTACGGAATGTGGGCTGCAAAGGAAAAAAGAAGGTTTGAATTTATCTCTCAAATGAAGATCCTGGAATCTCTCAGGATAAACAAGCTAAATTAGGAATGAAAATACACCATGTTTCTCACCATAACTATGGAACTGAAAATAGCACTTGCAGAGCATTGACAGAGGAAGAAAACTAGAAGTTTCAGTAAGCCCAAACCAAACTTCTTTTTGTCATGTTTTTCTGTGTGTTCACTGCCCTTTGTAGCAGCAAATGAACCCTGCCATGCCAGCAACAGGAGCCCCCTTTCATCTTTTGGGAGTGGTTCTTCTGACAG